TGCGAGAACTGTCTCGCTTCAAAATGTCCAATATCTGATTCACAACATCGACAGTCCAACTCTCTTCTTGAAGCAACGCCTGGAAGACACGTTGTTCTTCGCGGTCTTGAATTCCTTGTTTCGATTCGGGATGAGTCAATGAGATTCCATGCTCTCGTTGGAGTTCCTTCCATCGTTCCAAACTGCCGGCATGGCTACTACTGTTGGCATTGTTGGTCTGTTGCTTGTACAACTGGTCTATGGTTTCCACTACTGCTTCCTCAGTTGAGAGGTCAAACACTTCCTCATTCTCTACCACCGTCTCGTCAAAGTAGGATTGTGATAGAGACGACGCCATTGTGTCAACAAATGATTGATACCTTACAAAAAAGAAGAGTGATCCACTTTCGCGATCTTCTTTTGTTTGTGGTTTGGGGCGAGGACGAAAGTTCCTTTGCATTCCTTGTTGTTCTTTTGTGCATTGGTTGGCCTAACAAGCCAGCGTGTTTTACACCACAGGGAAAGCTCAGCAATCTCAAAGTGCAAGCCTCTTTTGGTTCTTCAGCTGACGGCATAAGGGGTAACCTATCATACATGTACAAGTTCTCTTCTAATACGAACTTAAATTTCTACCAACTTCTGATGACACACAAACGATCATTTACCAGTGGTCTCTGGATCTCACAGAGTGAGCCATGCCTGCAATGAGTACATGTAAGTGAAATGCATTTCTTTGACTTATTTCCATCCATCAGCAACCTTGATAACAACTCTTCCCTTCTTCTTTCCAGCTTGCTTCTTCATGGCTGCATCCATCTCGTTGATAGGAAAAGTAGAGTCAATTGGAATGGTCAAGTCTCCTTCATCCAACCATTTTCCAATCAATGCCAGGTCTTCCTCCTTGCTATGGCATTCTACAAACCCAGCATTCTTGGAACGGAACAAGAACTTGATCTTGTTCCACAGAAAGGTGAGGGTTGGAATTGTATTCACAATCGTTCCCTTGGGTGCCAGGAGACGGGTGCCACCAGGGGGGAGCATGTTGGGGGCATCCAAAATAACGTCGTACTGTGCTTCCTCCTCTACAAGATTCTTGACATAGTTGGGAGAAGTGGTACGGTCCAATACACGGTCCGCACCCCAGCTACGGACTTGAGCCACATCTTTGGTACCACAAATGGCAGTAATGTGACTGGCTCCCAATGCCTTGGCAATCTGAACAGCAGCACTTCCAACGCCACCACCAGCACCATTGATGAGTACTCGTTGGCCCTTTTGAAATCCACCAAAATCGCGAATGGCTTGCAAGGCTGTGATTGCTTCTGTTGTGGAAGCAGCCGCAGTGGCATGGGGAACATTGGAAGGCTTGATGGCACAATCAGAGCGCTTCACAGTGATGTATTCCGCAAGAGATCCCTGGACCTGAGAAGGTTCATATTGCAAATGACCAAAGACTTCCGCGCCCTTGGCAATATCATTCACATCAGAACCTGTGGCTTCAATGATGCCAGAGTAGTGATATCCAAGATAAAGGGGTTCCTTCAGGGCATGCGTAAAGTAGCCCATCATCTCCTTGTTGATGCAGGCATCATGGGCAGTATCCAGGGCAGAATAAATGACCTTGACCAGGACTTCATCATTGGCTGGGGTTGGTTTAGGAATCTCAACAGTGGAGTAGGCTCCTCCAAATTTGAACTGAGTGGCTTTCATGGTCGACATGTTGCAAATGTTGATGTTTGGTTGTGTTGATTGGTTGGTTGTTTTTGTTTGCTTGTTTTGGCTTTTGTATTTTGTGAGAAGAGGAGAGGAGACAAGGACAAAGCCACCACTGGAAACTTCTCGAGGATTCACCCTTGACAGTGCATCTTAGGAGATCCACCAGTGTCCACACCTTCAAAGAGCCCAGAAGGGGGCGCAAACAGGAGATAGCTTTGTTCTCGGAGGTTCATCAGCTCTGAAGATCCGAGGTTCCAAATACATGTACATGCATGAAATGAACGATGCGTGGCTTCAAGACTCAGTTTTGAATCGTGCTTTAGCTATCATCGGCACGCAGTACTTGTGGTCAGGCTCCGGCTCGGCTTCTTTTTCTTCGCCGTCTAAATCGTGTTGAAGTTCTTCGATCTCTTTTGTTGGAAGACCATAGGTCCGGTTGTACATGTACACGAAGTGTTGTGAACGGAGACTTTTTAGCCGGTCGCACTGTGCCCATGCGAGACCACGCAAATGCTAGTAAGCCAGAAACCCACACAAGCAGCCACGTTGCCAGCGAAGCTGTGTTTGTCTTTGAGTACTGAAACAGTAATTTCCATAGTACATGTAGTTGGCAGAGCGCACCATTGACGATGCAGGCCCGGTAGCGGTGGGAGCACGCAGTGGCAAGGGCAATCGCAAGTGCCATTACTATTAATAGTAAATGGCTAGTGGAGATGTAAAAGAAGATGGCTGCGTGCTGCGAGCCACCATCGCACAGCATAAAAAACTACATGCATCTGATCTAGACTAGCTAGGGATGAATAGAGCTGGTTTGCTTCGGCTGGTCTATGCTCCTTCTCCATTGCTGTTTGGTTTGATATTTGATCCTTCCCTTGAGTTTGACCGCATTAAATCTTTGAATCTCGCTCTTCTGTGTTTCCAAGTTGCACAAGTAACAGCTTTAACCCTAATGAAGTCATTGTGTTGAGTGACGAAAGCTGTTTTGCTGCCCTTTTCAAACATCGACGAGACATGGATCATTTGTTGTTAAATCTATGATGTCGTAGACCATATTCTTTTTAAGTGACTGCAATCTAGCCACAATGACTCAGTTTGGGACTCGTATCCGTGAGTCATATCCTCGCTGCCAACGTGGGAACAAGAGGCATAACTCTGCCAGAGCCAGCCGACGACAAGACATTTATCCGATGAGATCGAGATCAACCAGTGCCAACAAAGACTGCCAGAGTTTCGCAATTGAAGTCATCAGGAACTGGACTGTAGCCATCAACTAGCGAGCTAGCTAGCTAGTTGATGATTAGATAGAGAGGCCACAGACGCATTGTTAGAGCGGTGGCGATACTGAAGACAACGCACGTACAAGCTAGTGTGAAGAGACGGTCTTCCAGAGTTTGTTGGCCCAGCCGTCTTGGCGTGGAAGCAGTCGATCTGACAGAACACAAGCATCAGCGAAGCGACAGAGCCATCACAGTAGGTTTCCATGTCAACCCAGACCTCCAACAATAGGAGAGGTCCCCGTGGTGGTGGAAGGGTTGGAAGAGGAGGAAGAGGAGGAGGTCAAAGATCTAGAGGTCGGGGTGGCGGTGGCGGTGGCGATGGCCAAAGCAATGCCCCCAACCGTAGAAGCCAAAGCCGTGGAAGAGGAAGTGGGGGTAGAAGATCCCAGAACAGAAACAACAGCTCTGGATCCAATCAGCAACAGCAGCAAGGCATCAGTCAAGACGACGCAGCCAATGTAAGGTTCAATCTTGGCCCAGCTTCAGACCTAAGAGATGAGGCAAGTGCACTACCGTTGGGATACCCCAGAATGGGCACAATGACTGTACTAGTAGGCTGTTCCCAGGCATACGGTCGGCCAGTGTGTGCCCTCTCTGAGCCTGATGTTCTCCTTAGCTTGTTCTAATCTTGTCTCTCTATTGTTCTGACTTACAGGACGTTCTCATTGCATTTATGCCATACCTAAAAGCCGACCATCCGAGGGCTCTGTCCATCCACGAAGAATACCAACACACCAATGACTCCCAGACATTCTTGAAGGCGACAAGGGAATTCCTAGCAAACCCCAACAGTGAGCCGCCCACTGATATCCAGGCCCAATCTTCGCCTGCATCCATCCCATCCGAACCGATGGGATCTACGTCTCCCATACCTATAGAGACAGGACAGGCAACACCACCCATTCCAATGTCCTTGCCGCCAACAACCAATGCATCTGCTCCAATGCAAGGAGCTACCACACCATTACAGGCGGCCAGTACACCGCCGATGCAATCCCCAATAAGACCGCCGATTGGATACCCTCATAGGCCACTGACAACAACACCCGTGTCGAATAGTAATCACTCGCCGTTATCCTTTTCCATGAGTCATCCAATGTCTTTCAATTCATCCACAAACTCGCCCACTCCATTGAGCCAACCACCATCCTTCTACTTGCCGCCAACCTTGCAGCAGCAAAACATACAACCCCCGCCTCCTCCTACGCCGCAGGGCTCCAGGCCACCGCTGGGGTTCCCATCCAACCCAATGCACGTACAGCAACAGCTACCACATCACCATCCAATGCAGCACAATCTACATTCACAACAGCAACAGCAACCGTTTCATCATCCGCCGCATCCACAGCAACAGCAGAAACAGCTCCAGCAACAGCATTACCATCAACAGCAGCAACAACAACAACAAAAGCAATTACAACAACATCAGCAACAATTGCAGATGCAACAGCAAAACAATCAGTCATTCAATATGATGGAGTCTTTGGAACTTCAGCTAGACCGCCTGATGGGCGGCGATGACGACGACCTGCAACTGTCGGCTCCCCCCACTCCATCGCAACCTGCAGTGGGCGCTATAGGAGCACCAACGCCTCGGAACAGTACCATGAACGGAGGCAACGGGGCCAATACAGCCGATGACCGTGCTGCAACATCGTTCCTGTCGAGCCTCTTGGCATCGTCACCGTCCACATCGACAACGACACACATTCAACCACCACAACCGGAGCAACGTCCGTCGCACCAGCAGTTATCATCACATCAACAAAAGGCAATGTCTCCAACCAATCTAATGGCCCATCCTTCCAATAACGTTGTCCTGCCTCCTCCTGGGAGTCTCGTAGCCCCATCGCCCCATTCGCCAGTGCCGTCCGACCACACGCCGAAGCCTCCTTCCCAGTCGCACTCGCCACTCTCGTTGACACCGGCGCAAATGTCGCCAATCCTCCAATCGCAAACCACGCCACAACCGCCAAAGCCTCCCCGGAAGGAACCGCCGCAGCAAAAGCGACTATGGACGCATATTGACGAGCAGCCAGGGCGTGTTACCGTCAACGACATGAACGTCTCGAACCCTCACGTTGTTCTGGATGTTCGACCCCGTCAAGAGCTTGGAGCTAGATGGATGCTGTCGTGGAAGTATTTGCAACAGCGTGCGGAAGAACTCGCGAGGCGAAAATTTGATGCTGCGGACTCGGACGACGAACACGGATCTCGTCTCCAACAACCCCGCCTCCTGCCCAAGGACGACAACCCGTTGAATCGATTATTGCCGGATCTTCGGCTGGGTCTCTTTCGCCGTGGGTGTGCAGAAAACGGATCTCAAGCGTCCATCATTTCCAAGTCTGTCATGGTTTCTGGGGGAGGTAGGCCACCCTACCTGGATGCCCAGAGTCAAATGGTGATCGGGTCGGTTCCTTTTTATTCCCCAAGGACACCCGGACATGTGGTCTTTCGTCTGTACTGGGAAGACGACCCTATCTACACGTTGGCTGTCGGTCCAACTCTACACGTTCGAGTCACAGAGGATGACTACGAAGGGACAATTCGATTCCTCTTGTCCAATATGAAGAAGAAAGTCAACCCAACGAGCTTGTCTAGCTTACACTCGCTGGCTTTGGTACTTGAAACACCCTTGCAGCCGCCACAACACCAACGAGGCAGACACCAGCAACACCAACAGCAGCAATCGTATGATCGTGCTGGGAGGGCTACATGGGGGTGCATCTGTGAAGCTCGAAAAGTCCTGGATGCATGTGCTGGTGAATATGCCAAAACGAACCAGAGGTTGGCAAAACTAGCCGCTGCCGTGGAGGAAATCAAAGCTCAAGTGGAATTCGATGCAAGATCGAAGGATGGAGACGAAGGAGATGAAGAACAGACGCCAGCAGCAAATGAAATGAACGGGATTGATGGCAAGTTTGATGACGCAAGTCACGATGCCAGTGGCCCGGAAGGCAGATCCGACGAACAGCACGAAAAGGACGAAGAACGCGCTCAGATGCTCAGAGAGAAGACAAGGGCCTTGATGAGTGGACGTGCTTCTTGTGAGCGCAAGTGGAGAGATTCTCAACTAGCGTTTGCTAGCATTCTGAAGGTAAGTGAAGTATAACCGGCACCGGGCTTCGCATTCCATTATGACTGATGGACTGTCACTGACGATTTCATTTGCTTGGTCCAATGCTGTTTGAACCACTAGGCGGTCGTTTCAAACCCATCGATGCCTCTTCTTCTGCGCCAGGATATGATCCAGAAGATGCGGTTGGAGTATGAACTATGGTGTCCTCTTTGCGAAGAGTTTTCCGTTCCTGGTTCAGAAACCCAAAACGAAGTTGCGGCATCTGATGCCTTCGAATCAGAGGCTCCGCCTCAAATTGCAATGTGGTACGAGCCACTAAAGTCCTTCCCACCAATGCTCACTACCGAACACGTTCGAATCTGCCAAGAAAGCCGAGCATCGATGCAATCGAAGACACTCAACTTTGTGCCGAACACAAGAGCTCTTCATGACATCTTGTTCATCAAGAATCCTGCTGCGAAGGGCGGAGCTACAATGAACCCTAAGGCCGTGGCGGTTTTGAATCAGCTGTCGGGTGCCATGGGAAAGGTGTTCCAGGAAGTCTTCACATCCGATGTAGAGCAGAGGGTGCATAGGCAAAGAGAAATTATCCGAACACAGTTGGAAATTCTTGTCCAGCAATGCGAAGCTTTCCCTGCTGGTACGAAGGTTGCAATCTTTGGTTCTTCCGCAAACGGGTTCGGGTATGTCCTTCTGAAGATGCCTTTGCGTTTTGTTCGTTCTGAATACCAGCTCACCTTGCGCCCTTGTTGCTTGACGTTGCCAGTACCCCACAATCTGATTTGGATATGTGTCTACAACTGCCCTACGGTACCACGTATGGTGACGACGACAACGATCCAACGGGTTCGCTGGCCATGTCGAAGCTGGCAGAAACGATGGAACAACAATCAGCGTTGGGATCGGCCACGCCTGGTGGCATTGTTCTAACAGATGTTGACACGTCGCGCTTGACGGCTCGAATCCCCATTATCAAGTTCCTTTGTCCAATTGTGACGGAGGACGGCAACGAAGATGTCATTGATTGCGACCTGAGTATGCACAATCCTTTGGCAGTTTTGAATACAACCTTTCTTCGAACATATGCTGATATCAATCCAGTCACTCGTGTCTTGGCATTCATCATCAAGCGCTGGACCAAGGCCCGAGACATCAACAACCCAGCTCGTCACACACTGAGTTCTTATGGTTACATTATCATGTTGTTGCATTATTTGACGTACCACCAACGTGCTGGCAACGGTCTGATGGCGCCAGTCGCTGGGCCCGAAGGAAGAACCATGCGCCAGGCCAATCATCCCATGCCCAAGCCTCTGCTGCCTAACCTTTTATGGATGGACAGTACCTGGCCACAAGAACAGCAGCCAGGGCCCTACCGGGAAATCTCATCCCGCCCCAAGGTGATGATGCAGCACCCATTTGAGAAGACTAACGTCAATGGCTACTTCTCTCGTCCCCGAAACCAAACGGAACTGAACGCGCTAGTGCGTCTTTTTCCTGGCCAGGACCTGTCTTTGGCAATTTTGTTGACATCTTTTTTCAGGTACTATGCGTATGAGTTTGACTACAAGCGTTTCGTGGTGAGCTTGCATTCGACGGCATCTCGTGGGTTGGTGGAGCGTGAAGTCAAAGCTGAACTGGATGGATGGCGGCACTACAGCGCGGCTTTGACGATTGAAGATCCCTTTGAGACGTTTTACGATGTAGCTCATGTCTTGCGAGGTGGATACTACCATCGTATCCGGCGAGAGTTTGCAGTTGCCTATTCGAAGATTGCGGATGTCGTGTCCGGTAATCCCAAGACTGCCTGGACGGATGCAAATGGCGAGAAGAAGGATCCGTGTGGCATGAGCGGCGACGAGTTGATCGAATGGATTTGTGAACCGGTCGTTGCTCCTGGTGCTGTAGCAGCAGCTCCCACTCCTGGCATGGATGTGACGGCCAATGGAACGCCCCTTGCCACTGCAGCAATTCCTATAACTGCACCGGTGCAAGAATGAACAATTTCATGGAACCTCTCTTTAGAAGCCTAAATTGTTGCAAATATCTTCTTTCAGCATTCATAAGATAGTCTGGTCGCATGTGTTCAATCTTGTTTCTTACTCTGCATGCATCTATTTGTGCACAAGGCTAGCTGAATTTCATTCTCTTTTTGTGACCAGCCAGCTACTCTAGCTACGGAATGATCTGATTTGAATCATCAAAATTTAGAAAGGACGTTGGTAGCGTTGGAGTGGTCGACCGACACAACGTCGCATTGCTACCCCATTGCGTCCTCCATCTCTTCTGTTCCTGTTGTGACATTTGGTTGCATTGCCTATGTCATGGCCATAGAGAATGATTCAATCATGCGCCAACAAAAAAACATTGGCTTGTCCGTCGGTGGCTTTCCCCCTCTCCTAGACAGTATGCGTTACATCTAGCTCCCGTAACATCATTCTATCCTTGTTTTTGTTCAAACGGCGTACCAGTGTACCGGTACCAGTACCAATACCACCATTGTCCAACCACGACGACTTCAAGTAAGTCTAGTCGCTGGACACACATGACTCACCGTTCGTGAATGATATCTTCGCACAAACTGCGCGCAGAAGCCCCCCTCCACTCAAGGCACCAACCGATGAGCCTTCACTTTTTCGTCCCACTCTCCTTTTTCTTTGCCTCGACGATCTATCTGTTGGACCAACCACCATGGATATCCCATTGAACTCTCCCGTGACGAGAATTCCCTTGCCCAGTTTTGTCCGCAGTGGCGAGGCTTGGGAAAAGCGAGCTCGTCGTCGACACAAACAACCTTTAGATCCCAAGCATCCCGTAGAAACGGGTCCTTCCTTCCAACGGTCCAGCATTCCCCATCAAGAAGATGCCGAACGCTTTCAACATTTGACGAGGCCTCATGTGGAATCTTTTGACTATTTCCTCAACATTGGACTATCGCAAGGAATCAAAGACATTGAACCAGCTGAATTTGATCTCGTGTCTCCCGAGTTGGAACAAAAAGTTTCTCGCGGGGAAATCGGAACTGACGAATTGGTGGCGGCGCGAAAAGACGCCACCACGGTGAAATTCTACGTGGAAAATGTCAAGATTGGAAGACCTACTCGACCCAGTGGAATGGGTCGTACCGGAGGCAACAAACTACTTCCACGTGAATGTCGTGAACGGAGTCTGATGTACTCGGGTCCCATCCAAGGAACGCTTTGCATCGATGTCATTGAACGGCGAAATGGACTCATTGTCAACAAATCAAGACGCACTTCCAAAATCACACAGAATATGGGAAGTATGCCCATTATGGTGGGCAGTCAATGTTGCCACTTGTACAATTTGAAACCCGAAGAATTGATCAACTATCGAGAAGAAGCTTACGAAGCTGGCGGTTATTTCATTGTCAATGGCATTGAACGCTGTGTGCGAATGCTACAAGTTCCTCGGCGCAATCATCCAACTGCCATTCAACGCAGCAATTACAAAAGCAGAGGGGCCACTTATACAGATTTGGGAGTTGCCATTCGATGTGCTCGTCACAATGGAGACATGAGTTGCGTCACAAACACTCTGCATTACATGACCACGGGAGCTGCATCGCTACGGATTACGGTCAAAAAACAAGAGTTTCTTCTACCTGTAGTTGTACTCTTGCGTGCACTCAGTGGAGGCCATGTCACGGCCCGAGCAGCCGATGCCGCTGCTGGAGGTGCCAACATGGGAATCACAGATGAAGAATTGTACCATCGAATTGTTCAGGGTGACGAGTCCAACACATTTCTCAAGGCTCGAGCAGAATTACTCTTGCAGGATTGTCGGGCTCGATATCCCGGCTTCAATACTCCCAGAGAATGCTTGTCCTTACTCGGAGACCGCTTTCGAAGGGTCAGCTTGAAGGCCAACTCCACCAGCAATGTGGACATTGGCAAGCACATTATTCGACGATACGTCCTGATTCATCTGGTAAATGATGGAGACAAGCTAGAATGTCTCTTGCTCATGCTGCGAAAACTCTATGCCCTTGCTGCAGGAGATTGTGGGGAAGACAATGCCGATTCTTTGCAGAACCAGGAAATATTGACACCTGGTCACCTGGTCAGTACATTTGTAAAGGAAAAGTTCGAAGAAGCACTGGCAGCCATGCGGCTGCAGATTTCTCTAGAACTCCGGAAAGACTTTGCCAAAGTATCCAGCAAAATCGTCAACGTCGACCAGGTCTTTTGGAAGAGACTGATGGACCGGGGTGGTTTGAAAGACAGTGGAGGTGGGATTGGCAACAAAGTAAAGCATTTCCTGTCCACGGGCAATATCATTTCGACTACAGGTTTGGATTTAATGCAAGTATCAGGGTACACTATTGTGGCAGAGAGATTGAACTTTCTGCGCTACTGTGCACACTTTCGATCGGTGCATAGAGGCCAGTTCTTTATGGAAATGAAAACCACCGCTGTCAGAAAGCTTTTGCCTGACCAGTGGGGGTATCTGTGTCCTGTCCATACTCCCGATGGAGGACCCTGTGGTCTCTTGTCTCATCTCTCCATCATGACAACCATATTGACTTATCCTGATAATGCGGCGGCTCAGAGCCACAAGGAGGCAACGCCATCATACCGCAAGCCGACAACCACGAAAGCCAAAAGAAGTTGGACCGACGTGGACAGTCTATTGCTATCATTGGGTGTTTCTCCTGTTGGAGGTGGTGGACAACAGGGCGAAGGGCGCGGCCGGGCCGTCCACAGTGACTTAGTTGTGTGTTTCAATGGCAGAATCATTGGCAGCGCTCCTACTGCACTTTGCAAAAACATTGCGACGCATTTGCGAGAGCTCAAGGTTCAGCCCAACCCTGTCGTCCCGACGACTCTCGAAGTAGCACTCATTCCGCCCGGCAATGGCGCTGGTTCACCCTATCCTGGGCTCTACTTGTTTTCTGGAGCGGCACGCCTATCACGCCCCGTCCTGCATCGGGCGACTGGAAGGACCGAAATGATTGGGCCCATGGAGCAAGCCTTCATGGACATTGCTTGTCTGGACGAAGACATCCGAGAAGGAATCACGACCCATCAAGAATTGAACCCTACCAACATGCTGAGTCTAATTGCCAACATGACTCCTTTCTCGGACCAGAACCAATCACCCCGTAATATGTATCAATGTCAAATGGGAAAACAGGTATGTTCCACATAGACGAGCGTACATTCATCACTGTAGAACCAATCATTCACTTTTTTGTTCGTTTGACCTTCCTCTTCTTTCAGACCATGGGGACACCGGCACACTCGCTACCGTATCGAGCCGACAACAAGCTTTACCGCCTGCAAACACCACAAGCCCCTGTGGTTCAGACAGCTACCCACGGTGAATTCAAAATGGATGAGTATCCCAACGGAACGAACGCTGTCGTTGGTACGTAGTCCACCGTGTGCATCAGGCAATTGTGAATTTACTGTGCACTCTGTTGATTACGATACACTTACATTTTTTTTGTCTATAGCCGTCTTGAGTTACACAGGATTCGATATGGAGGATGCCATGATTCTCAACAAGAGCTCTTATGAGCGAGGCTTTGGCCACGCATCTGTGTACAAAACCATTGAGGTAAGCCTGAGGGAAGAAGCCAAGATGAAGGGCATTTCGTCGACTCCAGGTAATGCCAGCGGAGGGCACACTTTGAGATTTGAGAACCATCTGAAGTATGGAAGGGAGGACGGAACCGAAGAGTGGACGTATCCCTCTCTGGATGCTGAAGGGGCTCCAGTTGTTGCTTCCGCTCTCGAAGAGGGAAATCCAATCTACTGCATGATGGACACTGCCACTAATGACAGTCACACTGGAAAGCACAAGGACAAGGAGCGGGCATATATCCAAACTGTGCGGGCCGTGGGCGACGATAATGGAAAAGCAGCCGACAACAAGCTGTCGATTACTCTTCGTTTCCCTCGAAATCCTGTGATCGGGGACAAGTTCAGCAGTCGTCACGGGCAAAAGGGAGTTCTGAGCATCCTGTGGCCCCAAGAAGACATGCCGTTCAGCGAAAGCGGCATCTCGCCGGATGTCATCATCAATCCACACGCATTTCCGAGTCGTATGACGATCGGTATGTTGGTCGAAAGCATGGCTGGGAAAGCCGGGGCTCTTCACGGCTTCTATCAGGATGCCACACCTTTCTCCTTCCACGAAACAAGTAGCAAGAAAGTGTCTGTCGACTACTTTGGGGAGCAGCTGCAAGCCGCTGGTTATAATTACTATGGAAGCGAGCCACTCTACAGCGGCGTTTCTGGCTGTCTGATGCATGCAGACCTTTATATTGGCGTGGTATACTACCAACGTTTGCGCCATATGGTTTCGGACAAGTACCAGGTACGGGCAACAGGACCCGTGGATCAGCTAACGAGACAACCGATCAAAGGACGGAAGAAGGGCGGGGGTATCCGCCTTGGAGAGATGGAGCGCGACAGTTTGCTCAGTCATGGCGCGGCGTTCCTGTTGCACGACCGTCTGTTAAATTGCAGTGACAAGCATTACACGTATGCGTGCACACGTTGTGGGGACCTGTTGCTTCCCACAACGCAACGAAATACTCTTTCTTCAGTCGGTCAGAGCATGTCCGATATTATCAACAAGGCCAATTTGCGGTTGTTCTGCAAGAATCCAGCGTGCATGGAAGCAGCAGGTTTGAATGAAGGCGGAGCAAACTCAGGGAAGGAAGGTGGAAATGACGACGCTGTGGAGCCAATTATCCTGCCCTTTGTGTACCGATACCTGGTCAATGAACTTGCGGCCATGAATATCAAATTGAAGCTGGAGATTGAGTAAGACCTTGAGGTCCTTTCTGCGGAACCCCAGATTTCCTCTCCTGTCTGGTGTCGATCAGTTTCCGGTTGATACAGCTGGGCATTACTTTTTCATTTGTAACTTTATCGTGAAGTGAAAACATTGTATTGATGCAATCAAGTCTTTAGGATGAAGGAGCGGGGGGTCGAAGGTGGCTCAAGTTGAATTGCGATTTGGAAAGATTGATCATTCTGGCTCGTTCGCTCTTTGACGTGAGTTTTAGTTTTGCCTTAGCCTGGCCCCTCTATCCAGAGCTACCTGTACATTTTGCTAAAATCGTATGTACCTACGTACCTACCGTACCGGTACCGGTACGGTACTATCTACTAGTAGCGGTAGTTAGTCTATCGTTGGCCGATGGGTGGGTATTTTTAAAAACAGCTCGAAAGTCCAAACCAGGGATCGCTAACCAATTGGTTAGGTACTGTTACTGGTTACTGGTTGAGTAACCAAAAGTTCTAGGGTACTGGTTACCGGTTACTGGTTGGGTAACCAAAAGTTCTAGGGTACTGGTTACCGGTTACTGTTGGGTAACCAAAACTTTTGGTTATTTTATAGGTAAGTAACCAGTAACCACTGGTTAGTAACCAATTGCAAGTGTTACCTTGAGGGTCTGAACATGAGCGCAAGACTTTTGTGTTTTTGCTTCCGCCCCATGTCAATCCATCGCTTTTTCCTAGACATACCTTAGGATTTTGCAGCATTGGCAGCACGAATCTGCTCCTCTTCCTCTTTGGAGTAGTACTCCAGCTCCTCCAGCATCTCCATTGTTATATCCTCTTCTGTCAGATCTGGTTCTCCCTTCTTTGCGTGGCTTGTTGAGGATTTCACCTGTTCTCTGAAGAGTCTCTTCGTCCTGTTCTTGGCTTCCAGCAACCTTGCAACCGCCACGAGGTGCTGTGGTTGCGCAGGAAGTGGCGATTCTTGTACGTGAGAACCTTCATTTTAAATGTGAAGTCGCCCTGGTTTGCCTTTAGCCTATCGTTCATCCATGTAGCTCCACTGAAGGTTCTCTCTTGATCCCATTACTGTCGGGCAATGACAAGACGATGCAAGCAAGAGGTACAGAACGGGGTGGTCTCTCTTTCCAACAGTTTCCACCATTCCATAACATCGAAGTTCTTGGCAATAAAGTCAATGTTCTTGATCCAATCCAAGTCCTTAGTGCCGATGCTGCGGACTTGATCTTTGTAAGAGGTTTCTGTTTCTGCTTTGTCAGTACAGACACAATGTCGAACTTGCTGTCCATCCAGGATTTTATAACCTGAGTCACCTTGTCCACTCCTTCCTGTGGTTGCTCTGGTTGACGGTTCACCGTTTCAGCAGTTCTCTGCTTCTTCCTTCGCCGTTGTTCGAGCTTGGATAGCTTGTGAATCGGAACTTCTGGCTCCTCTTCCGCCTGGCGCCGCCTCGCAGGAACAGGCTCTTCTCACTCATCATTTGGTCACACAAGTGTTTCAATCGCCTGCCTCAACTCCTTCATGGCAAGATCCCGAACACCGTGGCCACGTGCTTGTATTTGTCCTTGGCATATTCCTCGACGTGCTCACTCAAGGTCTCTACCTCGTCAAGGACCGTTCCTCTGGTGAACGGGTTCAGCATCATTGCCAGTAGACGGATCTTGTTGAATTCCTTTTTCACGTCGGCTCCATACTCGGGAAAACCATCTGCTCGGGTTGGTCTTCCGGCAGCGGCAGGAACTCCTCGTGTAGGACCGGCAGGCTGGGGTGCCATGTCTCCCCATTTGTAGTGCTTTTTATGATGTTTGATGGCGGCATGAACTTCCTTGTGAACCTTTTTGACGTGACTCGATAGGTTCCCGTTCCATCATAAACCATTTTCAAAGTCTTCTCCTTCTTCAAGTAGGACGGCAATGAACAGACACTTGCGGAGAGGCTTCCCTTCGTCATCAATCATGCCATGCAGGCCATGTAAGGACGTTGTCTCCAATACTCTTCAACATCTTCTCTTTGGCCACCAAATCCAATTCGTCCAGCTCATCCCAACTATTGGGGTTCCGAATCAACACAACTCTAGCTATTTGCCAGAAAGGCGAACGGCCTTCACCTGAGGTAGTCTTGAAGTCATTGCGCAAGGGAAAGTGAACAAAGACTTGCTTGCGCATAGCTAGAAGTCAACTGCTCCCTATCTTGTTCAATAGGATCCTCATGTGGATCGTCATCATCGTCCTCGTCCTCTTGGAAGTCTTGGTCCTGCTCGTCCTGCTCGTCCTCGTCCTCTTCTCGGGCTGATCCTCAACCACATTGACTTAACTACTTCGTCGACTGGGGGGCCGTATATGTCTTCTTCGTCGGAAGGCTCCTCTTCTTTTCTTCCCAGGTCGGTCGTTCAGGTTGCGTTTAACCAGTTGGCCTTCGACAAACTCGGCATCGGCTCGGTTTTCTTCGGAGAAGTGACCTGTGCTGTTCTCGCACATCGGCTATGCTCAGGGCGGCTCCAAAATCGTCCAATAACCTTGACTCGGACATTACGAAGCTAGCTTGGACGGTAGCTGGACGGTGGCTAGCTAGCTACTTGAACAGCTTGGACGGTATGTTGGACGGCAACCAAACGAGTAACCAGGGCAAGCTAGCTTGGACGATGGCTAGCTAGCTAGCTTGACGGTGGCTTGGACGGTATGTTGGGGCAACCAAACGAATAACCAGTAACAAATGAGTAACCAAACGAGTAACCAAACGGACATAGGTTGCCCCTATTGGTTATTGGTTGGCGAATTTATGAGAGGAAACGGCAAGTTTCGAAATTCGAGTAACCGAATGGGTAACCAGTTTGATAACCGGTAACCGGTCGTAAAGTAACCGGTAACCGGTCCAAAAGTAACCAGTCGAAAACGACCCGGTTACCGGTTACCGGTTGAGTAACCGGTTATCGCGAGGTCCCGGTTGCCGGTTACCGGTTACGTAACCAAATCGAACAACCGGTAACCAAATGTCAAATAACCGGTAACCGAAAGAACTGGTTAGCGAACCCTGGTCCAAACGTCCAAACATCAATTTGCTAAATCTTTAATGCTCCCGATTTCACATGCCAAATATGCTACTGTACCGCTTGTTTGATATCCATTCATGTATCTTCCACCACACCAACAGCAACAAAACAAACAACAACAAGATCAATCTCCTGTTTCGGCAAATATGTTCTACGTGACAACTCTTGAGCATGAGATTGTGCTGGAGCCTGTGTACTTTGGACCCAAACTTAGGGCCACCATTGTCCGGTTACTCAAAGAAGAAGTAGAAGGATTGGTACGTGCAGCCATTATGTTATGTGGCTCAGATCCAGTTGACCAATCTCATTTTCTTCTCAACTGTCACCATGCATGTAGGCCCTAGCAACCTATGGCTACGTGGTCAATGTGATTGAGGTATTGGAAGATCAAATCAAATCTGGGATTATTGAATACGATACAGGGAATGTGGTGTTCACTGTAAAATACACGGCACTGTTGTTGCGTCCCTTCATCAACGAAGTGCTGGATGCCACCGTGTCACAGTGCAACTCACTTGGATTCTTTGCCTTTGTGGGTCCACTTCGTATTTTTGTGTCCAAGCATTCCATGCCAGAAGACATGTTCAATGGATATGACGGGGAAAAAGATGCTTGGATCAGTGACGATAAGGAAGTGATTATTTCCTCGGGTTGTGGCGTCCGTCTCAAGATCAAGGGTCGGACCGTAGAATCGGGCAACATCACAGCCATTGGTACCATCAAAGACAATTATCTTGGTTTGGTAGATGACGGCGAGGCTGCCAACTAATAAACGAAATTAGACGGATTGGTGGCAGCACTTCGGATTTCCCCCTATCGTCCAGCATCAAACGTTCAGCAGTTTTTCAACTAGGGGTGGGGTGTCCATCTTGCCTGCCACACAGTACCGCTATCATACGGTACCAGTAGCACGAACAGTGGATAACATGCTCAAGCAAATACGGCATCCAAAACAACAGTGGCGAGTGGCCATGGGTAAAAGATGATGGTCCTTCTTGCTCGATTATTCGGTCTTATCCTTTTTCTGGCAAGCAGATCTTTCATCCCTTCAAACATATTGGATAAACATGGCCGAGTTGGGTGCAACACTAACAGCAAACCCAACAGAACTGTTGCATCTCCCTTCTCTTTCAGGGTGGTAAAGATTCGTGCCACACCTCCCACCAGATTCAGTGAATTGGTGACAATGGATTGTGCCCCTGTGTGTTGTGTGTTGGACTTTATAGGTTGCAAAGACTTGAGCTCTTCGAGAAATAGATGCGAAAACGTTTAGTCTAAGGTTTGCTTCTAGCCCTTATTACTACCCGTTCAAAGCTGTCTTCTTGTTTGATAATCGTGACTCAAGAAACCTCACTACGTTTTGAGAATGAAACGGGGTTTAGTTTTAGAGCACGGAGATGATCGAGGACGGCACCCGTCGAATGAATCTCGATCACTCCTCCGACCTCTGGACGCATACTAGCTAGTATGACCATGTCACCTCAAGCCTGTCCCTTGGACTTGGTAGCTGTACGGTATGCAACAATTCAATCGATAGAGGGCCAATTATATAGAATTGAGTAAATATTAATACACAGACCTGTCTCCCCTAGATAGCTAGCTAGCTACCGGCAGCTGCTGAGGTGAGCAGCAGTCAAGGCTGGCAAATCGCGCGTGCTTCCTGGCGTTGGCAGAGAGTACGAGCGAGAGAGAGCCATAGCGCAACAACGAAGGAGGAAGCCACAAACCCTGATGCTTTCCCTTTGCTTGAAATGTCTGGTCCGTCACCCTTGCATGAGTATGCAATGCAATACTTTGTTTCACTGTGGGAGCGAAAGAAGCAAACCTGCGCCGTTTGAATCAAAGCAGAGAGTCATCCTGCCGCAATCGTTCCTTAGGCTGCGGCAGAAATGAAGGATGTCTTGAGAAACTGAAGGTTTCCAAGGACGCCTTGAAGATCAGGTTCCGTAAAAGTACCACCTCTTGCGGCAGAAACAATCACGGACAAGAGCTCTTCCAGAACAGTGTCGGCATAGTCCGTCATTCCCAATTCCATGTAGACACATGCCTTGTTGTTCATGGTGGCGATAATGACATGGGCACAATCAAATTGGAGTGCGCTGTCTATGAGAATTTCCAAGCTGATATCATAGAACGACAATGACCTCAATAGTAGGTCTTTGTCGTGGTTTCTTGCTCCTTCTTGATGGTAACCTAATGCCTGGTCAAACATGATCACAGCAGTGTATAAGAGTGCATCCACTGGTCGGCGTGCCGCAGCAGGATTGAATACAAGTGGCTTCGCATACACAAAGTGCTTGGGGTTAAACCCGGTTGTGTTGCCTAGCGAGCCGCCATTGACGGTAATAGCAGGCTGCTGCTCTTCTTCCTGGTCTTGTTGCTGCTGGGGTACATCCGGAGGTTTGGGAATGGCCATGGACGGAATTGGAAGTGCACTTGTGTCGAAAGGATCCTGAGCTACTCCGTAGGCTATTGTTCCATCGTTTTGAATAAACGTTGGAATGCCCAACCTGGAAGACAATTGCTGGATAGCAGCGTTGGCAAAATAGTCGGTTTCCGCTTGTTGCATGAAGTCCAGTGCCGCTTGAAACGACGATCGAGCGTGTTGCTCCTCTTGCCGTTCCAAATGAGTGGCTCCCTCCATTGTCTTGATAGCTGCATGGATAACCAAGTGCATCATGGTTAGCAAATGTCTGGAGAGCAATGGGTTGACGCAGTGGGTGGCAAATGTTGCTGTTGTTGTGTTGTTGCCGGCTGCGATGTGCACAGTTATGATAACATAGTTGTGTAGTAGTTTCAAAGAAGCGAGGATCAACCATCCTGCCGGTACAACGGGGGGAGTGCAACCTTTCGCGCTTTCACGGAGCTTCACGCATGAGTTTTCGGAGTTTTCAGCTGATGTCGTTGTTGTAGACACGTAGACATCTGGTTGCTGGTTGTAACTGTAATGTTTACAGCGGAGTAATTATTTGTTCACTTATTAGAGATAGTCTAGATGTTCAAAACAAACGACATAAAGGAACAATGGCCATTCACAATTTACACATGTGTACCTGTAAAGGCTTTCAGCATTCTTTGCGGCTGCGCAGAAACATCTTCGGCAAACACGCACCGTTATCTATGGACTTTGGACCGAATCGAATCGAACAAACTTACCGGGGTTCGCTTTTCGGAACTTCATGGAACGTATGGCTTCCGTACCATGGTACCATAATATGCCCACACGTCACTGCGTGGTACGGTGCTATATCCGTACTTGAGTCGAGTGACAGAAGCCAGCTATTAATACTAGTACCGTACGGTACCAGTACTCGTACCTGGTACTGTACCAGTACTACTGGTAGCTAGCTAGGACAGCAACAGGCTAGGAAGACATGGTAATTGAGTATTTTTGCTGAAACTAGATTCAGCAAATTCAGCATTTGTCAGCATTATATTCAGCAATTTCAGCATCATTCAGCATCAGTCAGCATTTTTCAGCAATGGATTCAGTAAGTTCAGCAACATTCAGCAGAATTCAGCAATTACTAGTAAATAACCTAGGTTGGATTCAGCATCTGTCAGCATTTTTCAGCAATGGATTCAGCAAGTTCAGCAAAGTTCAGCATCAGTCAGCATTTTTCAGCATCAGTCAGCAACAATTCAGCAAAATTCAGCATGCAAGACTGAAACATGCTGAAATAGCTGGATGACCGTGTCTTCCAGCACCACAATGTAGCAGGCCCACCCACTTCTGCTTTAAAAATGTAGTCATCACCAATGAAGTGGCGGATACGGTATACGGTATACAATGTAAACAGTGTAAATACTGTTGAGGTCTTTATGGATTGCACATGTGGCCAGCCCAAATGGTATACCGTTTACGGCAGTTTTTCTCTTTGATATTTAGTAAAGATGATTCAACATGGTTTACCATGTACCGTTTCAATTATTTTGTGTACTGTTTACCATTTACCGTTTATCTGCGGTGGCTTTGGGTTGTGCCTTGCTTCTTTGGAGACATCGCAGGAGGCAGGATATCGTATATCGTAAATCATTCAACCATCAACTTTACGTTGTAAAACCATAAAACGTATATCGTACACAGATATTGTCCTCTTTGAACAAGTCAATGTATGAATGGTAAACGGTAAACAGTAAATTGTCCCCACGATTAACCGTAAACGGTATGGGCAGCAAGAAAGACTATTGATCAAACAGTATGCAATTCAATACAGATCAGATTTTGACTTTTACAGTGGAAGCACTTTGAATCAAGCTGCTTCCTCTTGTGGAGTAGTGATAGATGGTATGACCAGTAGTAATCTCAAGGAGATGGCAACAACAACAATACTGTTTGCTGTTGATGATGCAGAGAACTTGTGTTTTTTTCTTCTTCCTTGATTAAATCACTAGCAAACACAAGACTAAACTGGCTAGCTATATTGTGGTGCTGTTGACAGGCCATATATCTATTTCCCGATTGCAATACACGGCTCTTAGCCTTATTCGCGACTCGATCCTAGATAGGGTTTGAGTTCGACTCATGACTGAGTCTCTGAGTCTCAGTCCATTGATGATTTGGACTTGAAGGTGTACTTGGCGCTGTTAGCATCTGCTTGAACAGTGCGAAGTTTGTAGGTGGTAGAGCGAGAATCGTCGATTTCGCATTCATCGTCGAGGTCGATGAGAGGAAGGATTGTTTGTCCGCAGCTTAGACTCGAAGCTGGTGTATGCGTCTTTGGCATCTTCATGGTGAGGAATAGGTTGAGGGTAGCTGAAAGCTATTGTGTTTGTTAACAAAATGCACTACGCTAAAGCTAGTGTAAAGATCTTTCGAGTGTTTTGAGTTTGAGAGAATGAGTTATGAGAGGATTAGAAAGCTATGAAAACTAATAACGAGAGAGATCCACAATCAAAGGATCGTAGATCTGAACTCCCGCGGGAGACTGTAGAGTGTGATGAGTAGGTTGCGGTAGCAATCCTACTCACTCACGATCCAAAAACGGAACGCGTGGAAGATTCGTCTAGGATTTATCTAGTGGCGTGGAAGTACTCCACGCTGGCTAAATATCTAGAGCGATGTTTTCATCATCAACCTAGTATGACTAGAGCGGTCATTTGAGATACCCTTGTTTTTTTTTCCTTTCAATTGGGGACTATTTTTCACG